GGCCGGCTCAGCTCCGAGCGGGACAGCGCGGCGTCGCCGAGTGCAGGTGACCCGCGGAGTGGGCGCGGGGGCGCAGGCGCGGGGTTGGCGGGGCTCCGGCCCGCAGCTGTGCGCCAGGAGTCGGCGCGAACGAGTCCCAGGCCGCCCGCGGGAAACTGCGTGGCGCGGCCTCTTGCGGCGGTGCGAAGCGGAAACCGAGCTGGGGTCTTCGCGTAGGGGTTCCGAGCCCCGACTTTGGGGGACATTTTAAAGTCCTCTACGAGGAATGGTGAGGTGTGAAGACACCGCTAGGGGGCCTGGAAGCCCAGCCACGGCCGTGGGGTTGGGTGGGGGTGTAGGGGAGGTCTCTGCATTGCCCACCCTTCTCCAGGCCCAACTGGGCAGGTCATTTCCACTTCGGCCTTGAGAAAGTCGCGTGAGCCCTTCGGACCTCGGTCGGAGACAATCGTTACCCCTGCCCCCGACATCGCCCTCCCCCCTCCGAGCGCAGGAGAGAGAATGGAGAAGGCACCGCGCCGGCTGGAGTGCTCTGCGGGGCTGCGCGCTGTTATTTCCACTCTAGCAACCGGCCTCTTGGAAAAGGCTGACTCTAGAATCAGAGGAGGCTCGGCCTCCTTCCCTCTGCTCCTGTCTTTGTGACTTTGGACAGATCCGGCCCCCTCTCCGCAGGCCTCCCTAGCCTAGAGGCTTTTGGGAGGTGCCCGTTAAAAACAAAAAAACAACTCACCCTGTACTGAGCTTCTGCTGTGTCACAGGCTCCTTGAGTCTCCAGGGGGTGGCAGGTGCTGTTCCTGGCCGCTGGCTACCGAGGAGGACACTGAGGCCCAGAGAGGTCCGGGGACTTTCCCGAGACTGTAAACCCGGGCTGGGGACCTCCACCAGCATGGGGTGCTGCCAATACCAGGCCCAGGGAGAGGTCTGTAGCCTCGCTTTTCAATAACCACAGGAGTGTCCGGGAGCCGGGAGCCATGGCGGTGGAGAACATCAACGAGCTGCCAGAAAACATCCTGCTGGAGCTGTTCACACACGTGCCCGCCCGTCAGCTGCTGCTGCGCTGCCGCTTGGTCTGCAGCCTCTGGCGGGACCTCATAGACCTCATGACCCTCTGGAAGCGCAAATGCCTGCGTGAGGGCTTCATCACGGAGGACTGGGACCAGCCTGTGGCCGACTGGAAGATCTTCTACTTCCTACGAAGCCTCCACAGGAACCTCCTGCACAACCCGTGTGCCGAAGGTGGGGTGCAGAGTGGGTCTGGCGTGCCCCCAACACACACACTGTCAGGATGCCAGCTAACATTTGTTAAGCACTTATGGTAAGCTAGGTACTTTGAATGGCCTAACAACTTTAATCCTCTCACAATAATGCTAAAAGGTAGGTAGGTACTGGCAGTGTACCCATTTTTCAGATGAGCAAACTGAGGCCAACAGTGGCATTTCTTCTTCCACCCTTAAGTTGATATCCCCAGTGACCTTTCCTAGGAGAAGGAATGTTGATTAGTTGGGATTAACTATGCCCCAGGCACAAGACCAGGAAGTCAGCTGTTTTGTTGACCTAGTTCCCAGACTCCAGGGCTAGGCCTACTAGGACTGTCCCAGAGGTCAAAGGACTTTGCCTGAGGAAGAATGAGAGGTCCAGTCTTCTTTCCAGCACACTTCAGCCACTTCCAGCACTTCCTTGTTCCCTCCCTATGTTAACTCGTCAGCTAGACACTGGGATAGGAGAGGATGGGAGCCTCATTCTCCATTATGTGGCCAAATTCTGGAGCAAAATGATAAAACAGCTCCAAGCTCTCTAGGACTTTCAGATGCCTGCCTCACGTGACTCCCCAACAGCCATGTTCTTCACCAACAGTTGACACACTATGGTCCATGAGCCAAATCTGGCCCAGGAGCTAAGAATACCTTTTACCATTTTAAAGGATTATTAAAAAAAAAAAATACTATGCAATAAGACAATATATATCCTATAAAACCTAAAATATTTTGGCCCTTTACAGAAAGTTTGCCAGTCCCTAATCTTTGACCCCAGAGGACAAAACCAAGGCTCAGAGAGGGAAAGCAACTTGCCTGATGTCACACAGTCAGTATTGGTAGAGGCAGGACTAGCCTCAGATCTGGCCAGCAGCAGAGCGTTCTGCATCACAGAAGGAATCTGGTCCTTCATATCATCACGTGTCCCCGGGTTCCCAGTGGAAATCACTTACCATGGTGCCTGACACAGGAAGCACTAATTCCAGGCAGGCACCATTGATCTGCAGTTCCACAGCACGGGCCTGAGGGAAACTGCTGAGATGCAGGGAGAACCGGGAGGAGGGGCCCTCGGGAGAGAGAAGGTGACCACAGAGGGGCTTCCCTCTGATGTGAACTGTGCTTTCCTGCCAGAGGGATTTGAGTTCTGGAGCCTGGATGTGAATGGAGGCGATGAGTGGAAGGTAGAAGACCTCTCTGGAGACCAGAGGAAGGAATTCCCCAATGACCAGGTCAAGAAATACTTCGTGACTTCTTATTAGTAAGATCCAAGGTCAGGGGGACTTGGGGTGAGGGGGAAGCCAAAGTCACTGCCCCCCTGGGGTCTCTCCTCTCTGGGAAAGCAGCCTAGCCTCCCAGTGCCCTAGTGGTGAGCCTCAGCCCAGCCCACCCTCCGCCTGCCCCCCAGCACCTGCCTCAAGTCCCAGGTGGTGGACCTCAAGGCCGAAGGGTATTGGGAGGAGCTGATGGACACTACACGGCCGGACATCAAGGTCAAGGACTGGTGAGTGCCTGGGGCGAGGGCCTGGGGGTGGGCCCTGCCACTCAGGTGCCCCACCCCCACCCTGCCCCCCCATCTCCAAGGCCCTGATGGGCCTTCTCTCTGCCTGCAGGTTCGCAGCAAGGCCAGACTGCGGGTCCAAGTACCAGCTGTGCGTTCAGCTCCTGTCATCAGCGCATGCGCCTCTGGGGACCTTCCAGCCTGACCCAGCAACGATCCAGCAGAAGAGCGATGCCAAGTGGAGAGAGGTGTGTGGGACAGGAAGGGAGCAGGGGGCACACTGCCCAAGGCTGAGACTACAGCCAGGCAGGCCTGGGTTCAAATCCCAGCTCTGCTGCTTCTCACCTGGGCTTCGGCTGCTCTCACTTCAGTGAAGCAATGCTGATAAAGCCACATTCAAAAAGGTTGACTATTATTAATGACTAATATTGGTGGTTACTGTCATCTAGACCAGCGGCCAGCAAATGTTTTCTTAAAAGGCTAGGTAGAAACATTTCAGGTTTTGCAAGCTGTCCTGTCTCCGTCACAACTACTCAAGTCTTCAACTCGGCCGTTGTGTTGTGAAAGCAGCTTAAGCAAGTGAACATGGCTGTGTTCCAATAAAACTTTATTTACAAAAACAGGCAGGCAGGCCATCGTTTGCCAAATCCTGACCTAGACCAGCGTTCTCCAATAGAGCTCTCTGCAGTGGCAGAAATGGTTTGTCTGCACTGTCTGTATGGTAGCCAGTAGCCACATGTGACTATCGAACACTTAATAAGGACCAGTTCCTAGTGTGACTGCGGAACTGAATTTCAATTTCATCTCATTTTACTGAATTTAAATAGCTAAATGGGCCCAGTGATGACTGTACTGGACATCCTTCGTCAGCTTGCGAAATTTCCTTCTGTTGCTCTGTGCCACGCTTAGATAATCCTGTGGTGTGGCCCCTCCAGGAATCGATTCCATTTTACAGACGAGGAAACTAAGGCATAGAAGAGGGGAGGTGGTCTGCCCAGCTTCACAGACTCAGAACTAGAACTCGGTTCTGGTCCAGCACTAAGAGAGCAGCCCCTTCCTGGACCCCCTGCCCCCCAGGCAGCGCCACCCTCAGGGTCAGCTCCCCTGACCTCTCTCCCTCCCTCTACCTGCCCCCTTCCCAGGTCTCGCACACGTTCTCCAACTACCCACCCGGCGTCCGCTACATCTGGTTTCAGCACGGTGGCGTGGACACTCACTACTGGGCCGGCTGGTACGGCCCGAGGGTCACCAACAGCAGCATCACCATTGGGCCCCCCGCTGCCCTGACGCCCCCGAGGCCCCGTCCGCAGAACTCTGACTGGTAAACGTGTTGTCAGAGGAAGGCTGGGCTTGGGAAGGGGCGGTGGGCCAGGCTTCCCCAGACCTCCTAGTTCACCCTGGCCCCCCAGTCGCCTCTTTGTGGAGCCTCCCATGCTGCAGACGGCCAGCGCTCTGCCTGAGGGTGCGATCTGAGTGATGGTGAGGGCTGTGTATACCTTTAAGAGACAGGACCCGTTAGGGAGGTACAGGATGTTCCCCCAGGTTCCTCCCCAGACTCCTCTGAGAGTGGGTGTCCAAGCTCAGATGGCAACCTAGATCTGTGTTCCTACCTTCCCCTCCTGGGCCTTTCCCCCTGTCTTTTTGGGGGGCCCTCAGAGCAGGGACGGTGTGGAGGACATCGGGCAAGCCTGGGGCTGCCCTGGAGAGTCAGATGCTGGGAGTGACTGTGTAGCTCAGATCTGGGAGTGGAAGGAGGGCTCTGCCGGTCTGTCCTCTGTCCCTGTCCCATTCTCTGTGCTCCCACGCCCTCGCTAGGCCTGCCTGCTCAGAGAGGTGGCTATGGCCCAGAGGCTCAGGCCTGGTCTGAGACAGGCAGGCCCAGGGTGGGGTGGAGTCGACGCCACGTCTGGACTGTCCTTCCCGTCAGTGAAGCCCCAAAAGCCAGATGGGGTGGGGCTCTCCAGAAGAAGGCTCTCTGGAATCCAGTGGGTGGGATCCCAGGGCAGGTGGGTGCAGGATTGGGCTCTGATTCTGAGAGCTAGGATGTGTGAGCATAGGATGAGTGTGGGAGTGGGGGTCTTTAAGGACCGCCTGTCCACCTCCATGCCTACACCAGGCTCCCTGTGGCTTGGAGGGCAATCCAAGCCCCACCCCACATTGGAACTGCCATTCACAGACCCTTCCCACCCTGCCCTCTGCCTCTGCCTCCTCCAGCAGTGCTCTGATCCTACCCCTGCTGCATGCAGCCAAATAAAAGGTTTTCCCAGCCCAGCTTGTGCCCTGTGGTTTCTGGGGCAAAAGGGCAAACTTCGGGGGAGGCCCCAGACATGCAGAAGGTGCAACATGTGTGGCTTCTGTCCAAGGTACGGAGGAGTTGACATTTCGGGAGCCGACAATCGCAGAACCAGGGCCATAGGACAAAGCTCTCGGTGAGCTGCAAACACCTCCCCCAGCCGCCTTCAGCATTGCTAGCTTCCTCTGTGGCCTGGCCACAAGCCTGCGAGTCACACACCTCATGCTGGGTCAACAGTGACATGTCAGGCACTGCTTACTGGTGTTTCCCTTACTCTGCCAAGAGCTTTACTGACATGAGATAAAGCCAAGGCATTTAGAATAGTGCCTGGCACACAGTAGTGCTCAATACTATTCAACTTAATGCTCTCAGTCATTAACAAGCGAGATTAGGGCCTCGGCCAGGGCAGGGGCCGCCCCTCACGAGCTGTGTGGCAAGTTAGCAGAGAACACCCTTCTTGGAGAAGAGACAGCCCTAAGGAGTTCATGTGATCTGGCCGGGCACCCCTGTGCAGCGCACAGCCTGCACAGCCTTTTGTGGCTCCCTGCAGCCCCAGGTGCTCCATCGTTATTTGTACAATGAAGAAAGCATCAATGAATTTAATCGTGACAAAAATGCGGAGAGATTTTTACCTTTGAGGACATTGAGGCCTGTCCTTGGTTAAGCCCTAGAGAAGGCAGGACTGACTAAGTGTGGCTGGTGTGGCTCAGTAGTTGAGCATCAACCTATGAACCAGGTCACAGTTCAATTCCCGTCAGGGCACGACTGGATCCCAGTAGGAGGCGTGCAGGAGGCAGCCAATTGGTGATTCTTATTGATATTCTATCTCCCTCTCCCTTCTTCTCTGAAATTAAAAACATATTTTAAAAAAACTCTTACAGCCCTAGCCGGTTTGGCTCAGTGAGTAGAGCATCGGCCTGTGGACTGAAGGGTCCCGGGTTCGATTCCGGCCAAGGGCACATGCCTGGGTTGCGGGCTCGATCCCCAGTGTGGGGCGTGCAGGAGGCAGCCAATCAATGTTTCTCATCATTTTATGTTTCTCTCTCTCTCCCCCTCTCCCTTCCTCTCTGAAATCAATAAAAAAATATTTTTAAAAAATTATTAAAAAAATAAATATAAACTCTTACAAAAGAAAAAAAGACTGACTTTCGCTTTCAGCAATCACCCTCCAGGGAAGGGCCCACCGGTCGGGTCCCACCGGTTTCACTTTCCTTCCGTATTTGGGGAGCAGGTTTAAGGGGTCGGGGGAGCGGCTGGTGCAGGGGCGGGTCTCGGGCTCCCGGAGGCAGGAGGAAGCCACGGGAAGGAACGGGTCCCGGCTGCCGAGGTCACCGGGGCGGCTCCAGGGGCGGGGCGCGCGCATGGAGGCCGGGGCCTGGGTTCCCACGGGCGGAGCCGCCGAGGGACTCCAGGTCGATACGCAGCTCGTCCGCCGGCCGTCCCGTCCGGTGCTCAGATCGCGGCCAGCAGGACAGGCAGGGGGGGCGACAGGCGCGAGAGGGTGAGTGTCCCAGCGCCCGGGAGGGAGGGGGCACCGGGGGCGTTCTCCCGCGGGCCGTCGGGGGCGGGCGGGGCCGGGCTCCCGAGGCGGCGGGGCAGGGCTTGGGCTCCCGACTTCTCGCCTGGCGGGAATCCGGGGCTCCCCGCCCTGAGTCAGAATCCGCCCCAGAAGTGAAAGTCCTGCTCCCGGGGGCGGCACCCCCGGCGCGGAGGGACCGGACGGCGGGGCCCCCCGCCGGATCTGGATGGGAGCCCAGATTTCCCAAGCCGCGCGTCTGCTTGGAAA